AGTTCTAGGACCTCTCATACTATGTATCATTCATTTCTCACTATTTTACACTCTACAGATGTGAAAAGTGAGTTTCAACATATTTTATTAGCTTGCTGAAAGGCACACAGTAGTAAATACGAGCAAGAATTCAATCCCAAATTTGTTAGACTAGAGCTTGAGCTCAAATTTGACTTTAATAGAAATAGCAACAAAATTAAAATCCAGAGATTTTTAAAAATTTGATGTTCTTTCACCAACTGTCCTTGACTTGTGATAAATCATTTTATGTATATGAGCCTTAGTTTTCAGTTTTAAATCTAACTAGATGATCTCTGTATGATTTTCTTACTCTAAAATATTTTATTAAATTGGCCTCCTACAATAATTGCCCTTGCAATATATGTATGCTGCCACCAAGTGGCAGTAAAGAGTACTAGTTTCTTTTTTTTTTTTTTTCCCCAAGTGGGGAGTGCATTTGACGTGACTTAACCATCAAAAGATCATATTTATTAATATAACCATAAAATAATTATTTAATGGGGTATTATTTACTATAAAGCGGAGGCTTTAAATTATGGCTGTAAATCACATCAGAATCACATATGGAGGTTTTTAACTGTAGAAGAAATTCAGATCCTGTTGAATAATTGTTAGTGATGGGGCTTGACCATCTGGACTTTGTGTTTTTTTTTTTTCTTTCGGTGACAATTCTGATATATGGCCAGTTTTAGGATAAGCGAAAGAAATAAAGTGTAAGAGATGATTAAACTAGATGTTAACATTTTATAATCTTCAACCTTCTTTGTATACATAAAGAAAATGTAGTTTACAAATATTATTGTCCTTTGAATTTATCAAATATGACTTATTCTAAACAATTTCTAACTCATTTTTCAGTCTCCAACTTTAACTTCCTTCTTTTCAGATCACACTTGCATTGCCCTAGGTGTACAGATACTTGCATGAAACACCTGGATCTAATTTACCACCATTGAAACACAAGTTTTCTCCTTTTTCCCTCAATAGAGGAGTGAAACAGTTCACATACACCACAAACACCTTGAGTTATCCCCACAGTAACTTTGGGCACTTGAAAACCTGCTAGAAGGGAATGATTCAAAAATACTAGCTCAAAGCAATAATATAAAAATGAGTACTAAAATAAATTAAAGCAAAGAATATAATTTGTGTTTTTTCTCAGTACACGTATCTGCAAGGTACATACTCATCAGAATGCTGTGAGGATCTATGCCAAGTCTGGTCTCTCACGTACTGGGGAAGAAAAATAGCACATTCCCTAACATCTCAGCTGGGTCACGCTGGTTTAATGTTACCACTGGAAGATGATTGATAAGTATGTATTAGATTATTACCATTTTAATGGCCACATAATCAGGAGAATTCTCAGGCAAATACATGTACACATGCACACACTCACTCACTCATCCCTCTTTATAGAACATAACATTTAAGCATGAAATTGACTTTTTCTTTTGGTAGTAATCACTCTTGCTTTTCCCTATTTTTTGTTATCTGAGAATTTACTACAAAGTCAACTATTAAAAGAGGCAAATTTGAAGGGTTTGAACAATTTAAAAATACATTTACAGTACTCAGTGGGAAAAGAAAGTAATTCCTGCTTGTGTTGATGAAAACCCTACATTAAGGAAGAAAAAACCAGTGTCATACTACAGAGGCAGCATAAGAGAGAAGGAAACATAATTGCCTTTATGTACCTTCTGGTATTTTCATCCATTGCTCTAAGTGCATCACTAATACTGTAGCTACATACAGAGCAATTGGAACCGAAGATGTAAAGACATACGGCCATTTGGTCTTCAAAGTCCAGCAAAGACATATGAAATAAAATCAATGTTTATCTGGTTTTCTATTCTGTAACTGCCTATTCATATCCCCTTGCCTTTGGATTTTCTGTCTTCTTTTAGATTCACTGGAGTTTTAATCTGTTTTTCACATTCAACATTTCTTCTCTCAGTGAATTTGTCAGCTATTAATTTTACTCGTGAAATTATTTGTTGACTAGAAAATGTTGATTTTTATATACATTGCTTACAACTTTTAATTAAGGTATCTGGAAGGATTATTTCTGCATTCATAGGGCATGAAGCCCTCTCCTGTGTTTTCTTTTTTGGACTTTACACTTTTGCCCTTCCCATGGACATCTCTATTCCATGTGAGTTTACTTCTGTATGAAAGGCGAGTTAACCACCCAAGTTTATTCATCTTCCTAAAATGCGTCATATTTCCCAACATCATCTAAAAAACAATTGATACTTTTCCAATTTTATCTGTAATGTTCATGAATAAATAGGTCAATTTTGAGTTCACATCATTCAGTAGAATAGTGAATAGATTCTTAAGGCTATTTAGTATTTACGATGTGCTTTAAATGCAAAATACATACTGGATTTCAAATTTTTTTCATTGAGAAAATTGTGAAATAAATATCTCATTAGTTTTTTTATTTGCTGACATGTTAAAATAAGAACATTTTGGTTACACTGGAATAATTACAAAATATTATTAACATTTATATAATCTGTTTCTTTTCTATAAAGTACCTAAGCAAAAATTACAACCACATATGTGTAGCTTGCATTATATTTCTTATGAACAGTGCTCCTATATGTTATTTTGGAATATTAGTTCCTAAAACATATGCCATACTAATTTTATTACTAATTTTTTTTTTTTTTTTTTTTTTTTGAGATGGAGTGTTGCTCTGTCACCCAGGCTGGAGTGCAATGGTGCAATCTTGGCTCACTGCAATCTCCGCCTTCAGGGTGCAAGTGATTCTCCTGTCTCGGCCTCCTGAGTAGCTGGGATTACAGGTGGGCACCACCACACCTGGCTAATTTTTGTATTTTTTTAATAGAGAAGGAGTTTCACCATGTTGGTTAGACTGGTCTCTAACTCCTGGCCTCGTGATCTGCCCACCTTGGCCTTCGAAAGTGCTGGGATTACAGGTGTGAGCCACTGCACCCAGCCTAAAATTAGTTTTATTATCATATATGAGCAATTTCACTTTTTTACTGTTTTTTTTTTAAATTATGAGCTTTCTTTTTAAAAGCTATTTTTATATTCCAATTCTCAGAAAAACGAAGCTGGCATTTTTATTGTGCATGGACCGAACACACAGGATAATTCAGAACAAATGATATCATTAGGTATTAGATTATACTATTCATGAACAAGGTCTATCTCACCCTTTAAGAAATTTTTCTATTCTTTTATAATTTTTAAATTTTCTTCAGTTAGGTATTATATTGCTTTTAGGTTATAGCCTAGATTTTACATAAAATGTTTTTGGAATTGTGGATATTTGTTTTCAGCTCTTATTTTTATTAGCAATGAGGGTGTATTGACATATTTTAGTTGATGTTGTAGCCTATAAGCTAGCTGAATTACAATTAATTTATTTCTGCATTCTGTTGTATTTTCTGAATATATCTTCTTCTAATAAAGATAATTTTATCTTTCCTTTTCCAACGTTTGTACACATAATATTTTGACATTCATTATTTCTATGGATGGCCGATACTATATTAAATCATATTGTAATAATGGATATTCTATTGTGCTCAGAGTTTTAATGAAAATTCAACTAAACTTTCTCCATAAATTTTAATACAACATTTTTTAGCTTTAGCTTTTGTTTGTTTTTTAATATATGTTTATTAAGTAGGGAAAGTTCTGTTTCTTATATTCTGAAAATTTTTATCTTAAATGTTTTCCAAAGCTTTTTAGGGAACATTTATCAAGAACTTATTAATAATTTTTTAATTCTTTATTGCAAAGATCAACTTTCTAACGTTAAACCATCCCTGAACTCCTGCAATAAATAATGCATGATTTTTAAATATATGGCTAATTGGTTGACTTTCTATTTATGATTTTTTTAACCTATGTTCATAATTGTATTATATAATTTTATATTCTCAAATTGTCCCCACCTGATTTTGCAAATAAGCTGAAAAAATAAATCAATCTTACCCCTTTTTAATTCTAATTTTCTGATTTTTTCCACTACTCTACTGAGTATATTTGTACTTTTTTCTACAGTTTTCATTTGGTACTTTCTCACTTGCTTCCTCTCTTGCTATGTGATTTCTGTACAGCCATTTCCCTTTTCCTTCTGCAAAAGTGCAAGATCTTACCAGACACAATGTTGGTACCATGCTTGTAAAGCCTGCAGAACCAGGAGCTAAATAAACCTCCTTGCTTTATAAACTACCTAGCTCAGGTATTCCTTATAGCAATACAGATAGACTAAGGCAAGGGCAAAGCATCTGTTGACTTTCAGTTGAAGGCAATGTTCACTTACCATTCAAAAACCCAAGGGCTTTTAAACACTATGCGAAATCTACTCTGCCTGTGCTCTGTAAATGGTATAACAAAGTCTCGATAACAGCACAACTCCTTACAGCATGGTTTACCAAATACTTTAAGCACACCATTGAGACCTATTGTGCATAAAAAAGGACTCCTTTCAAAATACTACTGCTCATTGGCAATGCACCTGGTCACCCAAGAGCTCTGATGGAGAGGTACAAGATTAAGTTGTTTTCATACTTGCTAACACAACATCCATTCTGCAGACTATGGATCAAGGAGTAATTTTGACTTTCAAGTTTATTATTTAAGAAATACATTTTGTAAGCCTATAGCTTCTACAGACAGTGATTTCTCTGATGGTTCTCGGCAAAGTAAATTGAAAACCTTTTGGAAAGGATTCACTATTCTAGATGCCATTAAGAACGTTTGTGATTCATGGGAATAGGTCAAAATATCAATGTTAACAGATTTGAAGAAGTTGATTTCAGTACTCATGGATGACTCTGAGGGACTCATTAAGTGGAGGAAGGAACTGAAGATGTAGTTAAAACAGCAAGAGAAATAGAAATTAGAAGTGGAGCCTAATTATGTGACTGAATCACTAAAATGATGACACTTGAAAAGATGAGAAATTGCTTCTGATGAGCAAAGAAAGTGATTTCTTGAGATGGAATCTACTCCTGGTGAAGATGCTATGACCATGATTGAAATGACCACAAAGGATTTAGAACATTACATAAACTTAATGATAAAGCAATAGCAGAGTTTGAGAGGATTGACTCCAATTTTGAAAAACATCCTACCGTAGGTAAAATGCTCTCAGACAGCAATGAATGCTATAGAAAAATCTTTCATGAAAGGAACAGTCCATTGATACAACAAATTTCATTGTTGTCTTAAAGTCATTGCCACTGTCACCCCAACCTTCAGCAGCTACAGCCCCGATCAGTTAGCAGCTATCAACAGTGAGGCCAGACCCTCCATCAGGAAAAAGTTTATGATGCTCTGAAGGCCCACATGATCATTAGTATTTTTTAGCAATAAAGTATTTCTTTAAATAAGGTATGTACGTGTTTAGACATTTAATAGGCTACAGCATAGGTCAAAATCACTGTTTCATGCCCTGGGAAAACAAAAAACTGAGTGACTCATTTTATTGCAATATTCACTTTATTGTGGTGGACTAGAACCTAACCCACAATATTTCTAAGGCATGCCTTAATGGCTTTCTTTTGGTTCATATTGACTTAATATAATTTTTTTTCTATTTTTTATCTTTAGCTTTTCTTTGTCCTATTATTTAAAGTATGATTCATGCAGACAGCATGCTGTTAGATCTTGTATTTTTAATCCAGTAGTCTGGTAATTGAATTCAACTTATTGATATTTACTATTATAATTTACTATTATATGGTATTTAACATTATAGTAGGACTTGACTTCCTTTGGCCATTTAACTTAATATTTTCCATTTCTCTCACTTTCATTTCGTTTTGCTTCCCCTGCCTATAAGGCCTTCCAAGGCAAAGATTTTTTTCTCCTTTTTTTATTTGAAAGATATACATTCTTGGTTTTTCTTTTCTTTTTATGGTTAAATACAAATTAAATTATAAGAAACATTGAGAACACAAAGACTGCTACTTACATTCATTTCTCTATATGAGTATTTCAAACATTCAATTATAATGTCCCTCAAACAAGAAAAGCAATCTAGCATAATTTTTACCCTCCTCTGGGTTTCCCTTACCTTCCTCATTAAAAATTTTAGCTGTGAATTATTATGAATATGCCATTGAGTTGACCCTTTTTTAAGACAATAAGACACCATTACCATACTTCCTGTATATTTCATAGCATATTTATGGTATGCTGTCTTAACTAGTGTTTTCAAGTGTTGTTTTTGTATGGTAAACCTTCTGATGTTTTATGCACCTAAAAATATCTTCATTGTGACTACATCCAAATGTTAGGTTAGCAGGTTCAAGGTTCCCATCAATTCAAGGTTCCCATCAATTTTCCTTCTAAACTTTGAAATTATTACTTATCTTTAGAACTGCATTTCAATTGAAAAACCTGATGTTCACATGACACCTATTGATGTAGAGTTCATCTACTCATTCTTTCTTTCTGTCTGTGACTTTTTGAATGTTCTCTTTGCAATGCCCTTAATGTTTTTTTATGAATTTTTTTAATGTGGGTTTTTCCTCTTTCCTATCCTGTTTGCTACACTTTATCGTTTTAATCTAGTGACCTTTCATGATGCTCACAAATGGCTTTTATTTAAACTCATTTGTTCCTGCTTCAGATTATGAATATTCTTGCATTTTGTTTGGCAAGTATTTAGTATGCTGATTTTAAAATCTAGCACTGTTTATTTTTAATTAAGTCTGAAATTCAGATTTTGATAAATTATCTTTTTTATGATATGTGTTCTCCTCAGATGCCTTGCTACATTCCCTGTGTTTACATTCTACTTGGGTTGTAAGCGGGATCACCATACATGAACCTGCCAATTGAAACTTGCATACATATGCCCAGTTGAAAGTGTCAGGAGACCTGAAATGTACCTGTGCTCCATCACCAAGCTGGTGCCCTGACACAGGGTTACATCTTCCCAGAAATCAAAATGAACTTTCCTTCACTCAAAGGAGTCATTCACTCTTCAAGCCAGGCCATATGATAATATCGTTTCTTAATTTTTGGATCCAAAATTAGTACCTGTTTCTAATTTTATGCCTAGAAGTTGTGCACCTTGTGGCAAATGCTTTTTCTAATCTGTTCATCCAGAAAGGTTATTTTTCAAATGAAATTTTGGGTAGGGTGCCCATGTACCCTGGTTAGCCTGCAACATTCTCAGTTTATACCAATTGAGCCCAGATAATTATTTTTCCCCTTTTTACTCTCAAAAGTGTCCTGGTTTTAATAATAAATTATATAGCCCTCCACTTGTATGTTCCCAGTAAGTAGCCTAGGGTATGACTTTGATTGTTAATTTGTACTCCATTAGGGGTGCTCAAAGCCAAGGCTCTATTCTCTGACTCTCTTAGTGATTTTAAGGAGAGAGGATTTGCCCGGAATGGATGACCCCCATTGTAATGATCTTGGCTTGAATTTAACTGTTTGTTACCCAACCCCAAACATTTGCAACTCTCCCGTCTGTCTTCCCTGGATATTGCTTTTCTTCAAAGGTTTTACCCCCTCAATCCTGTAACTTTCAGAATGCAGGAGAAAGTAGAAGGCAACTCTAAAGGCTCAGGCAGTCTATTTACACATGAGCCAGACTTTAATGATGCCCTGCTATAACCTGGAGACAAAACTATGTTGGACAGGCACTACTATTTTTCTTGAAGCAGCACCACTCCAGAGTTTCCCTTAACCAATCTCCTAATGGGAACTCATAGCCTAAACCTGCCTAGACATCCTTTGCCATTCCATGCCAGGTCACAATCACCTTCCTCTCCCTGGGGATTTCTGTAAGATTTAGCATTCGTTTTTCAGATGACTATCCATTCCTCCGCTTTCTCTGACATTGATAGAGTTGGACTTTGTAGAGGCAACCAACTGCCTGTATCAGTCCTCTCTCTTCTCGAAAAACCAAAACTCCTTTCTGTCCTTTACCGTCATAATACCATTGACTCAAAGAGCAAGTCCACAGCTAATAATTGCAGGGCCTGAAGCAAGAGAAAATACAGATCCCTACATATCACATATGCAAATATTGATAAGTTATAATTCTACCAGAATCTGTAAAGTTGGTTTTATCCTCTTTCCTTGAAAATATCCTTGAAAAGAACATTAAAGGGCTGGTTAAAATTTTGAAACATCAAAATTTTATATATAATACAATATCAAACACAAGAGCTGGTCATCACCAATAGCCTCCCAACCAGAGTAAGCTACATAATTTATAGGGCCCAGTATAAAATAAAAATGCAAGGCCACTGTTAAGAAAGTAGAAGCAAAATATGATTAAATGTACTAAAATATGAAGGTTTTCCTTATCAACTTGTTCTACATTTTTGTATTTGCCATTTGAATGAAGATAAATTAAAATTTTAAATGTTTAGCATGAATTTTATATCCTCATATTACACAATGCCAATTTAAATGCAAATATTTTTATATCATAAAATGTTTACATTGAACCTTTTTATATTGTGCAATGCCAGCTTTATATGCAAATACGGGTACATTTAACTCATATGCAGAGTGACCTAAGTGATAAGATTTGTATTGCACAGCCCATATATCCATACATATTTCATTGTTAGCACAATAGTGAAAACACTACACAAAATTAATTCAACTCCTTTTCACTTCCCTTTTTTGTGTGTGCATGTCTACAAAAATGTCTGCTTTTGGCTTACTTATAAGTAAGGAAATACTAAAAGGAGAAGGAACTATGAATTGTCCTACCTTTCTCATTCCTTCTATGTCATCATTTTCGGTATAAATGATTGGCTAATAAAGAGAAGTAACATGCATAATAAAGAATGTGCTAGCATTCTTTGATAATTTGTGTTTTTTAGACTGCAATTGCCACTCTCTCCACATTTAAAGCAAGTTCTGGTTCAAATGAAAAGCTTGGCCTCACAGGGCTGTTAGCAATCCTACTTAGACATAGACCTAACATGTATACTTGTATTGCTTTGAGACTCACTGAAGTCCTATTTACTGTGGGTCTTCTAGATTCCGTGCCAGTTGGGGCACTGTGATGGTGTAGGCAAATATGGTGGTAGATGTCCACATGGCATGTACTTCCTCTATTCATGTGCATGCTTAGTTTCCTTACTAGATTTGACAGTGTGAATAATAAGTTTAAGGATGAAATTATTAAGAATATCAAGATAGCAATAACAGAGCACTATTTGCACTGAGTCCTTCTCTGTGTGGATGCCTGTATGATTACACAGGTTACATACCAGTGAAGCCAGCAGTAGGCCAACCCCACTCCTCTTCCCAACCCTGGCTCCATACTGAACACTATCAAGAATATTTCAGCTCACACATCCAGGCTATGTTTCCTTCCCCACGTACAGCTCTGTGTTGACTAACTATCCTCAGGAGGACAGTTAGGGAAGAGGCCTATGCAGCTACTCAAAGCAGACTTGAAGATTTTGGCAGGAAGTTTCAGGGTCGCAAGCTACCTAGATCATGGTTTCGATACATAGGATCTGGTCCATGTAACCAAGTAACCAAGGCCAGACCAGAGTGGGACCCTCTGGGACTCCATTTGTCTGGGTCTTAGGTAACTCCAATCAGTCAGTCAATGCCATCAATGTTTTTCCAATTCTCATCATAACTCACTTTTTAATTTAGCATTTTATATGTTGTAACTCATTTAAAATTTTCGCTATATTAGTACCATTTCCCTTTTGTTACATGGATGTCTTTTCACCTTTTGTACATGTCCTTTCTTAAATCAGTTTTATTGGAGGGATACTTGAGCAGCCACAGAAGTGTCTGTAGACACCTCTTTGGTTTCTCCCATACTTATGTTATTAATGATGGTATTGTGAGAATTTCATTTTCTGATATTACTTTGAATTGACACAGCTAAGCGAGACATCTAGAATTAGAAAACTGCAAAACTTTATAGTCTTATGAGATCTACGCTCAATTAGTTACTAAGAGGCTTGTCCTATGGATAACAGGTAATGGTGGCATAGTGAAGGTTAGGTCCCAGACCTCCCACCTCCCAGTCTAATGCCCTGTACTTATTAATGCTTTTTCAAAGCAGAATTAGCCAGCGATATCTTGACTTTTTGATATCTGGGTTATGAGGCTAGCTCACATTACTGATGAAATCCAGTTCTGGACATGAGGGTCCAAGAGATCAATCAGACCCAGTATTAATAATCTGACAGGTATCTGAAAATATGTGCAATGTATTCCTGTAGAAGTCATTGCTAATCAAAGTCCTCTTTCTCCTAGAGCTTTATACTTCTTTTTTCCATTAACAATGAAAATTGGGGCTGGGTGTGGTGGCTCACACCTGTAATCCCAACACTTTGGGAGATCAAAGCAGGCAGATCACCTGAGGTCAGGAGTTTGAGACCAGCCTGGCCAACACGGAGAAAACCCTGTCTCTGCTAAAAATACAAAAATTAGTCAGGCATGGTGCCGCACCTGTAGTCCCAGCTACTTAGGAGACTGAGGCAGGAGAATTGCTTGAACCCAGGAGGTGGAGTTTCTTTGCATTGCATCACTGCATTCTTGCCTGGGCAACATAGCAAGACTCCATCTCAAAAAAAAAAAAAAAAAGAAAATTGGCACAAACCATGAAACCTGTAACGATCCCACCTATAAAACTTAGAAATTGAAAATATTATACAGCCCAGAATACATATTTAATATTAAACTAAAACCAGTGACAGCATAGTTAACTTTTGTCTAACATTTTGTAAACAACTATTTCAAAACAAGCTTTGGTCAAAGCCCTT